CGTCTTGGTCTGCTCTTATGTCCGGGTGATCATGGTGGCATCATGTTATTGCCCAGAGACACGTGTGAGCTGGGTCAGGTGGGCACCTCACCTCCTTGGCCAGTTGGGGGCGTAGTACAGCTGTATTGTGAACCAGCCTGCTGTGCAAACAAGAGGCGCTTTGTGGACTGGCACACCCCACATCTGGCAGCCTCCCAATGCCAAGGCCAGTGACCTGAGGGCAAGATGTCCTTCCTGGCAGGCTCAGTCCATGCCAGCACTTGGGGCTTATAGCCAAGGTTTGCTTTGACCTCTGGTTTATGCTCCTGCACTACTTGTCAGAGAAAATCGGGCCCTGGCAGTTTTATATTCACCTGTCTTGAGTGCATTAATCACGGCTGGCACCCTCCCTAAGCCCTATCCAAAGTTTGCATCTTAGAGACTGGATGTTTTCACAGAGACCTCGGGATGCCAGGGCCTGCCAGGCCCGCGCCATTAGCTGTGGTTTCTGGGATGTGTGACATGGAGTCTATTTCCATCCCACTTGGACCCCACCCAGAGGTTCTGACCCACTGGAGCCTTAATATAACTATTGGGATATTTAGGGCAGCCTGATTTCACGGGGCAGCTTCTTCCCCTTCCACATCTTTACTGTGGAGACTTTTCTATTTCTGTTACCCATCATAAGTTTTGTAATTTTTTTTCAAGTTGAGAAAGCCTTGGCACCTTCGTAACTTCTCTGCTTGTTCAGTGGCACTTTATTTATTTAAAGATTTATTTATTTATGCATATACGAACTGGGCTACAAGCCAGAGATGGAGGGGAGAGGACTCACCAGAGACAGAGTGGGGAGCACAACAGGCAGATCTATTGAAACTCACTGCTGAGGGGAGCAGCGGGCGGGACTGGAGAGATCTGCTGCGCCCTGTGGGTCACCAACCGCCCCCCCCCCGTCCCGGCCAGGGATCCAACTCATGCTACAGTGGCTGCTCATGACTTGATAGCAACATGTCTTCAACCCCTGCACTACCAGAGAGACCCTGGCACTGGCTTTTAGCTCCTGCTTTTGTCCCCACAGAGTCCAGTGTCCAGCTGGTGGGCAGCTCTTTTGTCCTCCAGGTCTTCTCCTGCACTCACAGTCACAGAGCCCGCAGCTCTTGTTCTTTGTCTCGCTGCTCAGGGGCTGACCCCACACCTGCTGTGGGGAGCTGATGTGGGGTTCGGGGGGCTCACTATCCCAGCATCCCCAGTATCAGGCCTGGGGGTAGGGGGTGTCGGGGACCCGGGCTCCAACAAGAAGAGATATATATTCATCAGTGAAGGAAAGAGCATGACAGTTCTTTGGGGGGCCGCTTGCCAGCTGGAGCGTGCAGACCTATGATTGCCCCAGCGGGGGTTATGGGACCAGAGGGTGTGTGATGCGGCACAGACAAGCAGGATGGACTGTGGGAGGGCGCTCGGGGGCCTGGGCTCCTGGGGTCCGTGACTGTCAGACTTCTTGGTGAGCTCTAGGAGCTGGGGGCAGAGCGCTAAGAACAGAGAAAATGGGAGGCTGCACTGAGACTCAGTAGGAGACTCAGCAGTGCTGCTGTCTTGGGGGGATGTGGCTGGACCCTGAGCCCTGTGGGCCTGCGGGCAGGGCTGCGCTGACGGTGTGAACAAGTGGGTGTGACTGAGCTCCAATTAAACTCTATTGACAAAAGCAGGCTGGGTGTGGTGTGCTGGGTTGACCCACTGGCGGTTGTTAGGCCAACCCTGAGCTAGAATACAAACCAGGGCCGCTGGGCTTAGGGCCAGTGCTGCCACCGAGAGAAAAGACAGCCACAGCCATCCGACCCTTTCCCGCCACCCGCCTCCAGAGGGAGAGGAAAGGGGTTTCTCAGACGAGACTAGCTGTTTCTGGTCCCTTTGTTTCCCAGGACGCAGTCTCTACCTGAATACTCAGCCCCTCCGTGGCCAGCCCGGTGACCCCGTCGCACAGCCAGCTCTGGGGAAGGGGCTGGCCATCACGGTCTCCACGCGCCCTCAAGTCATGGGCACCTGGGGTGGGTGGGTCCAAGCTGACCAAGCCCTCCGGCTGAGCCTCTTGTTACAGGGCAGGGAGAGAAGTGTCCCAGAACCCCCAAACCTGCCTGTTTTAAATAGGTTCTGCCGTCCGCTGCATCAAGACAGAACATCCATAACTTTAATGGAAAGGACCTTTAATACAATCGGTGTGCAATACAGACAAGACAAAGAATATAGTTTCCAAGTCAAGCGCCCAAAACCACCCATGCCCTCGTGGGTAAGAGTCCACCCAAACGGGATTGTCCAAAGCAAGGCCACTTCCCGTGGGGACCCAGAGAAAGGGTCAAAACAGCCAGACAAGTCTGGGAGGAAAAGAGCAAAATAAAATCAAGATAACAGTGGCCATTGGTAACCTCCCCGGGGACCTCTCACCCACAACCTTCCGACCAGTCAAGACCAGAGGGGACCAGGGCGGGGTGGGGGGGGGGCTCCCTCACCTGTCTCTGCTCCACGCCCCACCCACCCCCGCTCTCCACCTGCTTCCCCCCTCCCCAGTCTCCTCTCCAGCTTCTTCTCCTCTCCCCAGTCTCCCTGCTCAGCTCCGCCCTCCCTTGGGTGGGGCAGGGGACCTGGAGCCCCCTTTTCCTGGGGACTCCCCTGCTCCACTCTGACCCCTGAGCCAGGGCTCCTGCCTCATTTTGTCCTCTGTGCTTCTGTTTCCTTTTGGAGCCTCTTTCCCACGGACGGACGCTCCTCCCTGTGAGTGGCAGCTGACTCTGGACCTGAGTCTCCGCTACCTTTTGTCCAGCCCCAGCTCCAGGCCCTAGTGGGACTAGCGAGCAGGGGTTTCCTTCCTCTGCAGCTGAGCAGGCAGGGTAACTCCTGCTTCTGGCTCCCTCGCAGATGCAAGTCTTGGGGCTGGTTCGTCCTCTCGTTATTCCCATTCGTGCTCTGCCTTGGCTGCCCCTGGCCCCTGGCAGCCCTTCGGCCCGCCTGACCACACAGGGTGCTCGCTGGCGCTCCTGGACCCCCTGGGACTTTCCCAGTCACTGAGGAAAACGGCTTTGCCAGGAAAGAGCCCCAGCAGCCCAGGAAACCGATGCGGCCCTTGCCCTCCTGCCCACCACCAGCTCCCCGCTTCCTGTGCCCCCTGTCTTCTCTACAGAGCAATGTGGTCACCCCAGGGTCTGCTATTACTAGACCAAGGCTTGAGTCTAAGCAGGGCAGGAAGGAACAGACTCCAGACGGAAGTCTCGGAAGCCCTGGGCTCTGGGGAGCCCCCCACAGAGGGGAGGGAGGTGGATGTACACCCCAAACCAGCTTTCCCTGTCTCCCCCTAGGAAGGGACGGTGCACCCCCAGCCTGGGAAGACATCCTGCCCTCACCCTACTGCCCTGGAGCAGGGCCAGGAAGATACTGCTACTTGACTTTAAAAATAGAACATTTGAGCTGGACTTTTATGGTCCTGGGAAGAACACTGTGCTCATGCCCACCCACACCTGGTCTCTGCCCCAGCCTGGCCCCATCCAGCTGCCCAGCGGCAGCTCTGCACAGGCTCTGCAGGCCCCTCGCAGAGGCCTGGTAGATTTATGAGGACAGCCTTGGCGAGGCCTTCTCCCGTGGCTTCCAGCCACAGCCCAGCTGCTCCCCCCCGCCATGCAGCTCGAGGCTGGGACGTTCTGTGTCCTTTTCTGCCTCCACCCAGCTTGCTGAGTCACCCCTCAGCCCCCTTTCCCGGCTGCCCTGGCCAGCCCTGCTAGGACCCAGCCCCCCAGCCCCGAGCTGCCCAGAGCCCACTTTGTGCTCAGAGGGGCAGTGGGGCTGCCTCTGGGTGCCCGGCGGGACTCCAGTGGGTCTGTCCATCCCTTCCCATCTGAGACGCTGAAATTTAACAACTGTGACTCCTTTTCTGTCTGGGCTTGGTTATACCTGATCTGGAAAGCTACTTACAATATGCAGAGATGCCAGATCATTTCTGCAGGGTCACATATAATATCTTGCTGCTTTATCAGATTTCTGGCACCCCATATGGGGGCAGAGGGAGAGCCTGGAAGGACAGCACTCTGGGAGAGGAGGGGCTGGCCCCAGAGAGCTCGACTGTAGACATTGCAGAGATAACGCCAGAGCCCATCAGGCTTTTCACCAAAGCCCTGCCAGGAACCCACTGAACCCAGGACTATCTTGTTTGTTTTTCCTGGAGGTTAGGTTTTTAACATCATGGAAAGAGAAGACTTAAAAGAAACATGTTCTCCTTTTAAGGGCCTTCAGGCCTGGGGTGCTTGAAGAATGCAAAGCCCAGGGGAGTGGGAGAAGTTAAGGTAGAGCAGCCTTAGGGATAAGATCTCTGAACAAGGCGGCTGGGGCCATCTAAAAGGTTCTCTAGGAAATGGAAGCTAAGCAATGTAGCTTATGGCTCACCTTGGAGCCACAACTCATCAGGAAAGGTGGAAAGGGACAGAGAGGAGGAAGGCGTGACAACCAGGGGCAGCTGGGAGATCACACGGCAGGGACAAGACGCCTGCACCCTCCTGCCTCTGACTTAGGGTGGGCAGCCCTCCCCCTGGATGACAAAGCCTGCCCCTTCCTCAGCTTCCCTTGGCAATGCTCTATGCCCAGCTCACCCTTGGTCCCATCAGCACCTGCCAGGCCTCTGTCCTAGGTCCCTGCCGCTGCATCTGACAGCAATGTCTGTCTTGTTATCTCCAGAAGGTTGTGGGAACCCGGGAGAAAAGCAAGGGGTGGTGCCTTCACTCAGCTACCAATTTGTTCAGACTTTTCCCCTCAACGTCCCGCATAGCTGCCACCGGCGGGTCGCCCACAGGTGCCAAGATGCAGGTGGTGCGCCAGAGTCCTCTCCACCACACAGGCCCACTGCGTCATCTGGCCTGCGTGCTGAACCTGAGCCAAGCCTGATCCGCACTATGTTTGAGAGTCAGCGTGAAGACAGGTGAGGCCGGGCGGAGAGCCCAGGCCACCAGCTGGAGCGCTGTCTGGGAGACAGGGCGAGAGGGGGCTCATTCGTCACAAAGAGCTGGAGAGAGTGGCCAGGCCGGAAGGAGAGCGTCTTGAATCCCGACCTCTGCCTCTTTGGCCCTTTGACTGGAGGGGGTGGCTGTGCTTGAGTCAAGGCCAGGGGATCCCAGGCCACCAGCGTAGAGGCGAGAGCGCATCGGCCACTTCTGAAAGAAACATGGGAAGTGAGTATTGCTCCCTACTGCTGCTCCTGGTAGCCCAGAGCCTCGGTACCCCAACACTTGGTCTCCTGACATCTCCCTCCCTGTCACTCTCCTTGCCACACGGCTCTGATGAGAGTGGTCACCACCACCGATGGCCCACCCATTCCATGACCACTTCAGCCTGGCTGAGAGCCACAAGAGGAGCAGTTTGGGGAGACAAGGAGTCTCCACAGAGGGGAGGGAGGTGGTTGGCAGACTGACCGCAGCCCGGGACTGAGCAGAGTTTAGGCCCCTGCCTGGCCGCCCGCCCGCCCCTCTAATGGGGACCTCCAAGGACCGCCCATCCCTCCAGCAAGAGCATGGACAGTCCCGGAAATGCCAGAGCAGCTGCCCTGCGGTCTGTCCTCCTCCTGGCTGTCCCCCCACCTGGGCCAGGTCACCCCACCCAGCTGCCGGGGTTCCAGACCGGACCTGGTTTGCACAGCTTCTCTCTTGAGCACACTTACCCTCACCTGCTCCGCGCAAGGGCCTCACCTTGGTGGCCGTTTTCTAGCTAAGGAAATGACTGTGTCACCCAGAGCCCTGCGCCAGGTACCCCCCTCCCCTCGGCATTTCATTCACTCAAATTCTGCCCTTTCAGCTGTATTTGTATGAAAGGGAAACGCTCAAGTTTCAAGACATTTCGGAGCTGTGATGTTTAGGAAGAGAGCTTGAGAAGCATTCGCCATGAAAATGAGCCGGGCTGTCCCCGGAGGGCAAAGCTGGGCCTTCTTTCCAACACAGTTACACTCTACAGACAATACTTGGCTGGGAGGTCGTCTAGTCAGACACCCTTGGGCTTGCCCAGGGTTCAGTTTTCTCATCTGTAAAGTAATCCTCACTTTGTTCTTGTGCAGATTAAAAGATAAAAATGCTCCAAGACACTTGGCCCGGCCATTGGCAGAGTTTAGCACCCACAGGTTAGCACTATTGTGTGATGATTATGCTAATTATACTTTGCCTTCTGGTCCTCAATTCCTAACCCTGGAAGGGAAGCTAGTTCCGCTTGTCTTCCATTTCACTAAACCAAAGCCGTGGGTCACAGGTAGGTCGCAGTGAGGTGAGTGGTGCATGGGGAATCCCTCCCCCCACCGCGGCCACCCCATCCCCACCCCAACCGTGTTGCTTGTAGCCCATGTTTTCTAACACAGTTGTTCTCTTAGTGGGTCCCTCTCCTGTGACAGAAGCCCAGAACACACAGAGGCCCCGTAAGATGAGGTGACACCCCTCCAATCTAGGACTGTCCTAGGTTTCAGTGCTCTTAGCTGCTTCTCTTCCTGGCCCCATGTGGCCCCCCAGCCCCCAATAAACACGCCAGAGTCTTAGGGTCTCCAAGAATCTCCCTTCTCTTGAGGCAACTATACTCTCACAAGACCATTTCCAATCCCATCTCCGACCCCACCCCATGAACAGTGCTGGGTCAGCCCAGCCCCAAGGCCCATCTTGGCTCCTCTCCCCCAGGTCAGGGCTGCCCAGGGCAGGGCGCACCTTCCCGAGCCCCTTCCCCAAGGCCCTACCTTGAGAGGGTGCAAGTAGCGGAGTCCGCGCAGGAAGGGTGGCCAGGCAGGGCCAGGCAGCTCGTGGCCGAGCATGCGGGTGAGGTGGGCGATGTAGCTGGTGGCCAGCACCAGCACATCCAGCTTGGAGAGCTTGGTGTCCGGCGGCACGGCAGGCAGTGCGGCCTGCAGCGCCAGGAAGGCCTGGCGCAGCGTCCTCACCCGGCTCCGCTCACGCGCGGCGTTCTGGGGACTGGCTTCACTCTGTGGAGGACCCCGGAGAGTGGGTCTGAGCGGACGCCCACCTGCCCGGGTCGCTAAGGGCATTCTAGTGCGACTTCTCCTGCCAGAGTGCCAGCGGACCAGGTGAGAACTGGCCCTGCTTTGTCGGTTCTCAGCCCTGCCTCACTGACCCACGGGTAAATGAGGGCCTTGCCTGGGTCACATGGCAGCCTGGCAGGATGCAAACCCGGCTCAGAGCCCGAGTCCTGGACTGCTTGTAATACACCACTCCGCCTCCCCCTAGCCCTCGCCCCATCCACGCCCAAGTCTGAATCCTGCTCATCAGGGCGCTGGGTGCCCAGGGCCAGCTGCGGCACAGAACACACCCTGCTCTGTAGGGCCGACCCTTGACCGAGTCAGATCCAGCCATGAAGAACCAGCTGCGGTAAAGAGCAGAAGATACCACGCAGGGGTCAAACCGCCCTCTGGGACCTCGGAAAGCCCTCTTCAGTCCTCCTGGCCTCCGTTTCCTGGAGAGAAGTGACGGGGCCAGCTGTGTGCCTGCCCTCCGGTGAAGCCCAGCTGACCTATCCCAAGCACCAGTAGAGCCTTGGGGTGGAAGGAGCCAGGGCGGATCCCTAAGGCAGGAAGGGTTAGGTGGCGGGGACAGCTCAGCCCCCTCCCTGCCTCTCAGCGCTGGCAGGTCCAGCATGTCCTTACCCTGCCGTGAGCCAGGCTCCCAGCCCTGCCCCCCCGTGGGCTAGGGGCAGCTCTGCGCCACCTTTGGGTGCTCCAGCTGGTCCCTTCCCACAGGTCCTGCCTTGTCCTGCGCAGGCGGCCCCTCTTCCAGTCGGTGCCTGTGCGCAGCTGCCGCTGGGCCCGAGCCGGGCTGGGCCCCACTCCTGGCATGGCCGGTGCCCCCCCGGCCTCTCTCTGTGACATGCCACACCCAGGACAGGAGCACAGTGCCCACCAGAGCCCGCGGCTCAGGCTAGCGGGCAGGCCAGTCAGCCGCGAGGTCTATCTGAGGGAGCTGGCTCCAACTCCGTCTTGCTTCGCTCTCAGTGCTGGGAAAACCGCCCACCAGGCACAGCCCCCGCAAAAGCCTCCTGCCTGCCTCCCAAATGGCCGAGGGTGGAGGTGCTGGACGCTGGGAGTGGCAAAGCCCTGGGAGGAGGCCCTGGCTCAAGAAGGCAGGAGGCTGGGTGGGAAGGGAGCTCCTTCCTGGAGCCTAGCCGGACCCTCCTCGCAGTCCTGTGATAGATCTGTGCTTCGGCTTTGGGGCTCAGGTTGATGGATGGGCCCTGAAGCTCCTGCTGTGTCCCAGGAGGCTGGCTGCCTACACTCCTGGGGAGCACGACCTTCTGGACTCTTCCTTCTCTTGACCATGAGCATGACCTTCCGGCCACAGGGTACTCCTCCCCATGCCCAGCCATGCCTCCTCCCACTTCCAGCCCCGGGCAGTGACCCTGACCGTTCCAACCCCCTGGAACGCCTTTCGCCAACTCCCAGGGCAAAGACTGCCTATCCCGTGGGCTATGTCCTTCGTTTGTGAGCATTTCCTCAGCCCCACGGAGCCCAGGGCCCATGTCTCCCATGTGGAGGGCAACCCCACTCACGAGTGAGTGCCTCTTGGCTAACAGCTCCGTGCTCCCCAATTCCCATGTGCTTGGCACTGTGCTAAGGCATGAGCATTATCTTAGTTCTCAAAACAGCCTCCTAAGAAAAAAGATACAGATGGAAAGATGGGAGGTATCAGAAGATGAAATAACCTGCCCACGTAATCAGCTTGTCAAGCTTCTGTCAAACAGAAGTAGGATGAACACCAGGCGGTGGGTCAGCTGGCAACTCGGAAGGTTGCTCCTTCCCCAGTGCTCTTCTGTCCTGGGGGCTACTCCTGTGTCTGTCCCCAGGAGACACCAGGTCTCTGAAGGCAACGGCCAGCTTTCCATTGAGTTGCATGGAGCCCTCCACACAGTGAGCCAAGAGGGAAGAGCCGGCTGTCGTGGCAGACCCTGTCTGTCCTCAATAGAATCCAGCTTGCACGTGCCTTACTTTGAAATCTCAAACTCCATGAGGGTCAAAATAAGGGAGAGGACAGAGAGCCAAGGTGGATGTAACGCCAGTGAGTGAGACCCCAGCCAGCCAGAGAGACAGGGAAACAGACAAGAAAAATTGACCAGCAAGTCCACCAAGAAGGAAGCGATTAAGTGCATTTTGGTATCTCCTTACCTCGGATTGACGTATGATGCTAGGAAGAATAGTGCAGATGTCTGTTTAGTGACATACAAAAACTCTCCAAGCTACCCAGTGAGGGGCAGAACCCGCGTGTAGGTCTACCTCTGTGTTGGATGCCGGCCGGTTCAAGAACACCAGAAAGCAAAGAGCTGTAAGGACGAAAGCTTGTGTGCTTATGTGAACAGAAAGGAGACTGGAGAGGTGCACGTTTCAAGTTTTGTTTTTACTCCAGGTGCAGAGTTAAACACACAGCTTGATCTGCAGCACGCTCACCGAACAGTGAGCATGTCAGGGCACAGCCTCCGGAACTCTTAAGGGGGAGGATGTCCTGAAGGAACTCTGCAGGGTTATGTGGACTCCACCCCTACTCCAGTGATTGGAAACTACAACTCCCAGCAGTACCAGGGAGAGAACTGCGAGGGCCCAAGCAGGCATTCTGGGACTTTGGGGGATAAATGGGGCGCCATTTTCCAAGGCACTCTCTTGCTCAGGCAGCGGCTCTCTGGGGGCTATCAGTTAGTTTGTTACTAGAGCTCCAGGTAGCGGAACCAGGTAAGATATTCTACTTACCTTGTATCCCTCTCTCTTTCCCGGGGTTGTTCCCTTTCGTTTCCCCTTTTGTAAATAAACCCATTATTGACCCTTTTGTGTGTGCCTGCAGTACAACTGAATTTTAAGCACGCAGGTGAGGTGAGGACCCACAGACAGGCGGCCCAGTTCACAATGAATTGCCCTGTAACAGAACCAGACTCCAGTCACCGTTAGGCCATCAGCTGACTGCAGCCGGGGCCGGCAGCTGGAGTGGAACCATGAGTGTCCCCGAGCAAGAGTCACCCCACTAATCTGCTCTACACAATCTTCTCTAACCCATAGAATTCCTGACCCACCTATCAGTTTTTTAAATATTAATTTTTATTTATTTATACAAGAACTGGGGTACAGGACAGAGATATGTGGGTGAGAGGATACACCAGAGACAGAGTGGGGAGCAGAACAGGTGGATCTAATGAAACACACTGCAGAGGGGTGCAGTGGGAGAGTCAGGAGATGTGTGTTGTGCCATGTGGGTCACCTCCAGGGCTGGGGATCGAACTCGCACTAAAACCTCTGTGGGTAGCTTGCAGTGCTGTGTCTAATCCTTTGTGCCACCAAGGAGGGCCCTCAATATGCTCTTTCTCAGAAGGCATTAAGTTGTGATAACTCTTCCAGAAACATCCATTCAGAGCTCATCTGTAATTTACTTTGGCCAGTGCCAAAGCCAGACTTATAGAGGAACCCATGGAAGTTCTCACTAAGTGGTAAGTGGGGGTGATTGCTTTCCTTCTGGAGGAACTTACCTATGAGGTAAAGAGGGAGATTTGGCTTCAAATTTCATGAGCCTTGCAAGAACACAGAATAGAAAGGGGGCAAGTATTAAGGACACATTTGCACAGAGAGTTTCTTGTGCCCAAGTCCACTCCTGGAGTTCGGTGACCTGGACACCTCCAGAAAGTTCCTCCACCCGAATGGTCAGAGACTAGAAGGATGACACAGTCAAACTCAGGCTAGCTGGCACCTCAGGGCTGCGTGCATGCAGGGATGCTGGAGTAGAAATGTTCACAGTGAAACCGGGTCCACAAAGCCCCAGAGCGAACCAAGAGGGGACGGTACGAGGCATGTGCTTCCCAGGCAGGCGTGCAGTGGCCAGTGACAGGCTTCCTCATAGGTGGGGGAGGGGAGCTGTGGTGGGAAGGGGAGCACAGGGGCTAGGTGGAGGACTCCAGGTGCTCTGGTGGTGGGAAACCACGGTGACCACACCAAGGTGAGAAATCCCAAGCCATGGAAAAAAAGGCTGTTGGAAAACACAAAACTGAAGATCTGTCCACATGTACAGTAACTCTCCACACCCCTGTCCCCAGCACTGGGCAGCCACCATTGACTTTCTGTTTCTACAAATTTCATTAAGCTAAGAACTTCCTGTGAGCAGACCCCTAGCAGTATTTCTCCTTTGGTGACCAGCGTGTCGGCAAGGTCCTCCCCTGAGGCAGCCGGGCACTGACTGCCCTGGCGAGGATGGTAAACACTGCACTGCCTGTCACAGGGGCTTCACGCAGGCACGCATCTGTGCGTGGGCGCTTGAGCTGGTTTCCCCTCTGAGCTATTGTGAATAATGTGATGCTGGGAACATGTGTGTGCAAATATCTTGAGGCCCTGATTTTAGTTCTTCTGGGGATATATATCCGGAAGTGAAACTGCTGGATCATTCAGTAACTCTATTTTTGACTTTTTGAGGAATTGCCACACTGTTCCAAGTAGCTGCACTATTTGATGTATTCACCTGTGGTCAGTCCACAAGCGTTGCAAGCGTTCAGATCCTTGGCCATCCGTATTATTTTTCCCCCCTAAATTATTTTAATAACCACCAGCCTAATGAGTATAAAACTATATTCTTTTTAAACTTCCATTTCAGGGCCCTCCCTGGGGGTGCAGTGGGTTGAAGCACAGTGCTGTGAGGCTGCCTGAAGCCCTGTAGCACAAGTTGGACCCCCAGCCAGGGAGCTGCCCCACATGGCGCGGCAGACCTCTCCTGACCCGCCGCTGCTCCCCTCAGCAGCGCACTTCAGTAGATCTACCTGTTCTGCTCCCCACTCTGTCTCTGGTGAATCCTCTCACTGCCCCTGCATCTCTGGCTTGTACCCCAGCTCTGTATGCATAAGTAAATATTTAAAAAATAGAAATAAAATATATCAAAACAGAGCAAAGCAAAAATAATTTAAAAAATAAACTTCCATTCCATTATTTTTTGTCCTTATTTTTATTTTCTACCTTCTCATTTCTTCAATTTGTCCTGTTCATTTTGTCCCAAGTCCTCCCAAGTCCAGTGCACATTTTCCAACTTCTTGAGAAACAAGCTTGGTTGATTTGTCTTTTAAGTTTTTTACTGTGTTTTGCTAAATAATAAAGAAAAATGAATAAAATGTAATCCTTGACATAAATATTTTCACCTAACAAGATAGTCTCAAAAATAAATCATGCAACGATGGACAGTAATGCAGGAAGAAATTAAAAAGTCAAAAACTATTGTTGATTTGAGCAAACCCCTTTCAGAAGCTGATAGAGATATATAAACAGAGAGAATGAATTACAGTTAATCAGCTTATGATTTTAGTTATATCCAAAAATAGAAGGCAACAGCAGGCATTCCTGGAAAGAGTACAAATAGGAATAGCATCAAAGCTGACTTCTACACCCCACTACGTGACTGTGTTGTTTCCAATTTAGACAGTGGAATTTGTGTATTATTTGTGAAGATAAAAGGCAAAAACTTAGTACTTCAACCTGCATTTCAATACATTTTTCCACTCTGTCAAGACTCTTCACAAAACCAAAATACAAGGGCATCATTATAACCCCAGGCTAGAAAGTTCACTTCAAAAGTAGGAAACACAACCAACTGGGGAAAATATATGTGGTGGGTACCCAAGGACTGTACTCAGGCACCTGTAGCTATTTGAGAATAAGGTAAATTGTACTGCTTTACAACCTCAACGGAGCATGCAAACACCTTTTCTTCCTTATACCCCCCAACTCAGAGTTTCTTTGACTTTTAGTCCACTGTGCGTTGTCACAAATTACAAAGCTGCCAGCAAGCTATCAAGTAAGACAGCAGGAGGGGTGACTTACAGGAGGGGGTGACTTGGCTTCTCTACAACTCGCCACATTTTGAGATCTTCATCTGAAGCAAAGAATAAAGTCATCTCAAAATTGGGCCACAAGTCCCATGTGTGCAAATTTCAATTCCCACCTAGCAAATCTCACAGTAGTTAGTTTGAGAGAATCTGTGAATCAACATTGGAAGAATAAGATGAGTCAGAGAGGTAAGTCTCGTGATACTCATCTTTATCCCAGCACTGCTCAGAACAAGAGGCACTTTGCCCAAAAGACTTAGAGTAATATTTCTATTAGGATGAATGAAGCTTACTCTCCTCGCTTGTGGCTACTATGTAATCAATTAATTTGTCCAAATTACCTTGTTCTTTCTGACTTCCAATCTTTCTGACTTCCAGGCAGATCTGTCTATAGATTTGAGAATCCTGGTGATATTAAATGCAGAAAATCTGTCCCGGTGGCTATGACATTTCATGTAAAGTCAACAGTGTGGATTCTGATTATATTTTGACTTCTCAAAGAGCAAGTCTATTGAGAGAAATATGTGATTGTTCCTTGTCCATGTGGGCCACTTTTTCTGGGGTAAATTTATAAATTGGCATTCTGGCACTTACCTGGGGATAGTGTGGAGATGGCATGATCAAGAGCACATTTCTTACCCTACAGAGTGGCAGATACAACTGCCTTCCCGGATGACACAGCAAGCAGATGGCGATATGTGCTCCACACGTTATTGCTTTGAACCCCCTCTGGCCACTGTGATCATCTGCTTTCTTTCCTAGAGCTCGCATTCTGCTTACTGATTCAGTTTTTAAATTTCCTGGCAAGCAAGTAGGAACCGAATTGAGATTCCAGAATTTTTCCTTTCTCCCCTTTTTGAATACTTACCTCTCTGTAGTTGCCTAACACTTTTCCTCAAATCATGATTTCCCAAAAACCAAAGTTAGTTGAGCAAGCAGCCTCTTCCTCTCATATTATAATGTGCAGCCCAAACAGAAAATTAAAAACCAAGTCCTTCCAGATAACTATCCTACCCATTCATTCATCCTCTCAACAAACATTTATAGATTGCTGGAAAGAGCACATTATACAAATTTGAAAGAAATAGACCAAGAATAGAACAAGCTATTCTTGTCCAGGCTTGGAGCAGCAAGGTGGAAGATGGTGTGGCTGAAAACAACTGCAGGCAAAACAACTAGCAAACAACTGCATTGCAGTATCAGGTTCCCAACAGGGATGCCAAACACTTAGATGTCAAACTCTCTTTTAATAAAGCTTTATTAAGCATATGCTAGTGAACACAATGTAAGGGAGAGAGTAGGTGGTATAAACTGAAGTAACTGTAACTGACAGAAATGTTTGTTAGGACAGCAATCTTTAAATTGGGGTCTCATAAGCCTAGATGGTATGAATATCTTCCAAAAAGACTTAAATTCTAGGGTGACCAATTGTCCCACTTTCTCTGTCTTAATTTTAGGACTGAAAGTCCCATGTCCCAGGAAACCCCTCAGTTCCTGTGGCTGTGTCTCACCTTTCAAACTCCTTCACAGACACACCCAGAATTATGTTGAACCAAGTATCTGAGATGCCTGAGACTGCCTGGTTCTCTTTTCCCACTGCCCACATTGAAGAGTCATCTCTCACTTTACACATATCCTGATTTTATTATGATGAATTGCCTTGAGGGCACAAAAGAAAAAAGAAAGAGAATTAGAAACACTGACATGGGCAAAGCCTCCTCTAAACCAGACATCCCAGACCCTTGGAAGGGTATCTCATTTTTCATTATGTGTTAATTTTATGTGCCAATTTGACTAAGCCACGGGGTGGCCAAATACTTGGTTTAACATGATTCTGGGTGTGTCTGTGAAGTTGTTTCTGGAGGAGATGAATACCTTGCTGGTGGGGCTGAAAAATGGCACAGCTAATTTGGAAGTCAGTTTGACAGTTCATCAAAATGTAAAATAGTCATGCATGGCCTAACCATTTTTGGTCTAAGTCAGTGGGATATAGGGTGACTGTCCTAAAAAGCTGTACCATGTAGCCTAGGTGTGTAGTAGGCTATGATATTAGAAAGATGAAATCACCTAATGAAGCATTTCTCAGAATTATTATTAAGCATCAAAGGACTATATGGACTCATTGTGACTCAGCAATTCCTCTCCTAGGCATCTACTCAAGAAGAATGAAAGCATTTGTCCATACAAAACAAGAGTATACACAGAAGCATTGTTCATAATTGCTGAGAAAGAAGCAAAACAGAATTGGGGATGAGTGGGGAAATGAACTATGGTCTATGCACATAGAGGAATATTATTTGGCAATAAAAAAGTAATGTTAACTTGCTACAACATAGATGAAGCTTGAAAACACTATACTAAGTGAAAGTTACATTGCCTATGTTCCACTTATATGAAATGTCTAGAATATGCAAATCTATAGAAACAAAGTAGATTTATAGTTTCCAAGGAGAGGGTGGATGAGGTGGGGGTAGGGAGGAGGAGGAATGGAGTGACTTTCACTGGGTATGAAATTTCTTTTGGGAAGTACAAGCATATACTAAAATTAGATTGTAGTCAGTTTTCACAACCCTGTCAGTACACTAGAAAGCAGAATTGCATAGTTTTTAAGAAAATATTTTTTATTTATTTATGAATATAAGGGCTGGGGTGCAGGCCAGAGGTGTGGGGAGTGAGAGGATTCACCAGAGACATAGCAGGGAGCAGAACAGGCAGATAGACGAAGTACACTGCTGAGGGGAGCAGCGGGCAGACAGGAGAGGTCTGCTGTGCCAGGTGGGTCAGCTCCCTGGTCAGAATGGAACTTGTGCTTCAGCGGCTGCCGATAGCTTCATGGTGGTGAGACTTAACCCCTTTGCCATCAGGGGGGCCTCAGATTTGCACTTTAAATGGTTAGACTGTATGGTATGTGAATCATATCTCAATAAAGCTGTTAAGAAAATAGCTATTAAAGCCTAAGTATATCCCAAGGGGATGGAAACGTGTAAAGCATGAGCCACTACTTGGAAAGCAGGAGCAGAAAGGAAAGCTCAGATAAACTATAGCTGGGGAGAGCTTTGGTTGGAGGAAGCGGGGAGCGGACAGCAGGGGTGAAGCTAGTGCACGAAAGGGAGCCCCATTGCCTGGAAGCATTTTGCCTACTTTGGTCAAGGGTCAGCCTTTTGTTGATCCCCTGAAAGAAGTTCCCAGAACCTTGAGGAGGAGAAACTACGATGTCAGCAATTGACCTTTATGACATAGGCACTAGATACCAGGGAGAACTGTCCCCAGGGGATGGGGCTACCAGCTCCCAAGGGGGGCGGCAATGCCACCCCTTAAACAAAGTCTGTCTCCCAGAGCTTTCATCAGCTGGCCCACTGTCACTGCTGCTACTGGGCGTGATAAGCCGCTGGACGTGGCCAGGCTGAGCCAAGGACACCAGCTTTAGGGGTGGCCAAGGGGCAGGATACCAGGATGCTGGCGGAATCCCTGATTCAGGTTTAGGAGAGCAGAAACCTGTATCCGAAAAAACGTCTCCTGGCTGAAGGAGGACGGAGAAAGATCCCGAAGGCCGGAGGTTCAGACAGAGAACTGGTCAGAGTTCAGGGTAACAAGTGATGGGGTGGAGGACGGTTAAAGCCACTGTTTGGTGACTCTGCGCCCCTCTCCCAGGTCCCCTCAGCCCCGGAGAGCCTGTGAGCACATCTCAGAGGCACCTGGATTGGTAAGAGCTCACAACAGAACACTCCATTCCAGCCCCATCCCAGCCCACTGCCCCCAAGCCGCCTCCAGCTCCACCCTCCCTCAGCCTCCCTCCTCCCCTGTTTCTCTCTTGGGTTCTCACCTTCCCTGGAGTATTTTGCCAGCTGTCTGGACCCAAAGGTCACATGGGCTTAGGGTCTTGACAAGACAGCCTGGAAACGGGCACGCAAAGCAAAGCCAGACAGCATCCCGGGCTGTTTCTTTCTCTACAGGCTGGACAGCTGTGTCTTCCTCCCTTCCTCCCCGGCCCAGGCATTGTCGCTGCTGCCCCTCAGCTCCCAAGAGGCAGCTTGGCTTCGGCAGCCCCACATACCCCTCGTCAGTGGCTGATGGAATAACTGAGAGGCCACGTTCAGACCCAAGCTCCTGCCTAGACCCTGGAGGGGCCTGGGACTATAGCTGCCGCCCTCAGTGGCGCCAGGCAGCCAGGCAGGAGCCACACTGTGTGCGCAGAGGCCTGGATTTCCCAGCCAGGCCTGGGCTCAGAGATATTGGTCCTGACTCCGCCAGGTCTCTAATCTCTGGTCCTAACACCCCCTTCGTCCCTTCTGGATTCAAGGCAATGTTGCCTCAAAACAAGGAGCAGGTGTTGCTACAGAACGCAGCACCCCCTGGACACACCCTGCAGAGCCCCTCACAGCGCTCAGACTCTCTTCCCACTAACCTAGGGCCTCCTCAGTCTCCCCAGCAAGCACACCCCCCTCCCCCACAAACGTGCTCCCCTCCCCCAAGGACTCACTCACCTGGCTCCCACTTCTACTCTTCTGACTCAAATTCGGAGTTTGTCCTACATCCCTACTCTTCCTCTCTCCCGAGTTCCCCCACTTTCTTTCATCAGAATTTCCCTTTTATCCCCTTTTCACATTCCCCGTCTCCCTCCCACCTGTTTTACTCCTCTCCTACTCACTCCTTCTCTCCCTGTCAGCCAGAGAAATCCCTCCCAAACTCATGCTGCCAGTCTCCCTCCCACCTGGAAGACCCACCTAGGCCCACTCCCATGTCTCCGAGCCCCAGCCCACTTTCTTGTGGGAGTCAGCCCAACACCCAGTCATGGCACTGGCATCAGTACGGGGACACCAGGTCCCCTGGTGCGGTGGGGGAATGCGTGGCAAGCGAGAGGGACCCTGCAGAGTTCAGGGACCCAGGAGCCCTCGCCCAGGCCCTGGTGGCCCACCTGGGGCACCGCCGCATTGCTCAGGACCTGCGCCTACTGCTTTTGCAACGCCTGTGGCTAGGCGAAACCGGCGAGGTGCCGCCAGTTGTGGAGTACCCCGTGTGCTTGGTGTGCCTCCGCGCCCGCACTCCCTCTTGCCCTGCCCCCAAGTACAAAACTGGCCCCCGGCTGCTTGCCTTCCCCCAACTACTGCCCTATACACAGGACCAGGAATCCGGACCACTCCGAATAGGCATCGGCTTTGGCCTTCGCCTGCCTCAGGGCCAGGCCAGGGCCTTGCATCTGTTGCCCGAAAGAAGGCGGAAGGAAGCAGAGCCCCAGGGAGAGGCCGCCCAGGCCAGTGGGTATCACCCACCGGCATCCCGGTCTCCTGCAGCTCCAACCCCTGTGGCTCAGGGCCTGGCAAATTCAGCTTCAGGCGCACCCTCCCAGACAGGGAGCCTCAGACCTGCAAGCCTTCAATCACCAAACTCCACCCAATGTTCAGGGCTTCTGCCTCAGGCACCAAAACAGGCCACTACCTCCCTGGAGCCGGGGCCTTCCTCTGCCCCAAAGAGGCCTGCCTCTCTAGAACCCATTCTCCTAAAGTCATCACCCTAACTCCAGAGGCACGGAGGCTCCCTGGAACACCTCCTCCAAACACCACCATCCCTGCCAGGCCTCAGACCTCATGGAGCCCCCGAGATACTCTGAAGGGCTGGCTGGCTGGAGCTCAGGTGTGTTCTCCTGCCCTGAACCCTGGGAGTCCCTTGTGGAGTCTGCTCTCTCCTGGCTGAAGAGGATCAAGAGCACTCAAGGCCCCATTCCACCTTTAGTGTATCCAATAAAGCCTGAACCTGCAAGACTTGTGTCTGTGTTGTGCTGAGCAGAGTGAGGGGCTATACCCACAGGATGGGGGTTAGATGGGGAGCAATCCCCAACAAAGGGTGGGGGGTCGGGGAAATTGAGTGGCCAAGGAAAATGTGTACCATGTATCTGAGGAAGGCAAGGCCTAGATACCTGAGACCTGCAGAAAGCTCCATTTTTGCCTTTTACACTTTAATAAAACTTAGAGGAACACTACTGGCATGCCCAAAGATGAAGTCATCAGGCACCTTCCTCTGGGTACACCTTAGGTTAACTGATGTATGCTAACCCAGGAGAACATCAGGAAGTGCATTCTTACAAGAAAGGGCATGCCAGTTGGCATTCACTCACAGATAGAGCTGAGGATACATATGTTGGTGATCAGAAATCCAAGAGTCCCCTCAGAAGGTTGGAGTCTGGAAGAGACCAGACCTGTCCCGTTGGGGACTGAGTGGTCTCCCTCTGAGGGTGTCAGAGGGTGCAACCCTTCCCCTACACACACGGCGCACACACATACACACGACATAACATGCCTTTTCACAAGCAGACCTTTCCTGTCTTGCCCACTGCTCCCCTCAGCAGTGTATTTCAGTCAATCCGCCTGTTCTGCTCCCCACTATGTCTCTAGGGGATCCTCTCACCCCCGCCACCCCTGTATCCCAGTTCTTGGATGCATAAATAAATCTTTTCTAAAAAGAAGAGTACGTTGCTTCTTAAGAGAGGCAAGACAAGTAGGTCACATTTCAGATGAATGATCTTAGATAATTTCCACTCTCGGGTACAAAGCAACGGTTGCGCTTGTATGTCTCCTAGAGCTTATGTGTAGACAGCACTAAACCAAATATTTCTTTATTATCCTTAATTTTTTTAGCTCTCCCTCCTCCGCTGCCACGCTTCGCGGTGGAGGCGACGCGTGCCTCCCTAGCCCCGCACAAAGATGGCGCCCCTGTTGTCACAAAGGGGCGGAGAGCGTAACCCTGACGCCATTGTTACGTCACCCCGCGGCGGGCTAGTGCTGACGCGTATTGGTGGTTCTGCGCCTGCGCGAGAAGCGCCACCGGCTCAGTGCGCGTGCGCATTGCGAGACGAAGTGCTTGGAATAAGCGGTCGGGAGCAGACTTACTGATCCCTGGCGTAGAGTAGTGACAACACCGGCTGTGTGAGAGGAGTCGGCGGTTTTTTCCGCAGCGGCAAGACTGAGTTCGGCAGCGACCGGACCGTCTCGAAGGCCGGACCCGGCATGTCCCGAGTGTCGCGGTGCCGACAGTGAGGTGCGCGGCGAGCGGGATGGGTCGGCGGCGGGTGCCGGAGCTGTACCGGGCCCCGTTCCCGTTGTACGCGCTTCAGGTCGACGCCAGCTCGGGGCTGCTCATCGCTGCGGGCGGAGGAGGCGCCGCCAAGACCGGCATAAAGAATGGCGTGGTGAGAGCACTGGGCCCCTGAGACCTGGTCGCCCACGGGCTGAGGGCGATGCTGGAGGGTGGCGGGGACGAGCCGCACCCCAGTTTCGGACCCTGCTCCTTCCTGGGTGGGAATCCCCGGCATAGCTCACGCCTTGGGGCGAAATTTCCCGCGATCGTTTCCTGTCCCGGCGGTCGAGAAACTCTTGAGGTAAAGTGAAAGCTGCACAGCGCTGCCTAGGCTAGAATGCTTCAGTTCGACCTCCAGGGCAGCTGCAGAGGTTTTATCTGGGGTCGCTTATGGGGGTCCACACTGACTTGTCTTGTTGTCGTCAACAACCGGGAATTTGCCCAATAGGTCAGGTTTCGTTGCTCTACTGAGCATCACTGTGCTGTAAACTCGAGGTATAATCCCATCCCTGCTTGCTGAACAGATTTAGTAGAGAGAGAGGGGACTCGGAAAAGTCTTGTGAACTAGTAAGTGCTAGTCAGCAAAGGGGGGTCCCTCCTTCACTTTATGGAGTAGAAGTTCGTCCTTGAGGTGCTCTCTAGGCACCCTGAACCTTGCCCGGCCTGTTTCTCTCTCCCATAGCACTTTTTGCAGCTCGAGCGGATTAATGGGTGTCTGAGCGCCTCCTTGCTACACTCCCATGACACAGAGACTCGGGCCACCATGAACTTGGCACTGGCTGGTAATATCCTTGCCGCAGGGCAGGATGCCCACTGTCAGCTCCTGCGTTTCCAGACAAAGCAGCAGAAGGGAAAAAATAAGCCAGAGAAGGCAGGTGAGAAGCCCCATCTCGAGTTTTGGGGTTTAAATGAGGATTAGAATGAGTAAGATTACTCAAGCGACTGAAGCAGTAGGACGGGAAGTGGAGTTACAGTAGCAGGTGAGAAGCTGGACGCTGTCCAGCTGTGTGTAGAGAGAGCAGGGCTACTTACCCTAGAAGCCTGGAACTTGGCAGGCTGTCTGTATTGTAGGTTCTAAGGATCAGGCGCCTCGACAAAGGAAGGGAACCACCCCAGCAGAGAAGAAATCTGGAGCTGAAACCCACCAGGAAGGGGTTGAACTCAGTGTCCAGAATTTGCAGGCGGTGCAGACAGACTTCAGCTCAGATCCCCTGCAGAAAGTGGTGTGCTTCAACCATGATAATACCCTACTTGCCACTGGAGGGACAGACGGCTGCGTTCGCATCTGGAAGGTGTGACTTGGGGGATCTGGGAGGACGGGTCAGTAGCAGCATGACCAGAGCTGTGAAAAACCGAACCTGGGTTCAGGGAAACGCGTGAGTGGAGCCTGCACTGAGTGACCGTTAGAAGAGATGAAGGGTGGGGAGCATTTCACTCTCGGGTGCCTGGTCTAACCACAGTGGTGGTTTGACTCCAGGTACCCAGCCTGGAGAAAGTGCTGGAGTTCAAAGCCCATGAAGGGGAGATTCAGGACCTGGCTTTTGGGCCTGATGGCAAGGTGAGTAATTGAGAGGGTAGAAAAGGAGGTGGTTATGCTGCTTGTCCACTAAGTGGGTCCTCTAACTGTCCATCCTTGGAATCTTGAATCCTCACCAGTTGGTAACTGTGGGCTGGGACCTCAAGGCCTCCGTGTGGCAGAAGGATCAGCTGGTGACACAGCTGAACTGGCAAGAGAACGGACCCATCTTTTCTAACACGCCTTACCGCTACCAGGCCTGCAGGTGTGACGCCACTAGTGCGGTGCTGAAACAACAGTGGGAAAGGACTGGGGGAAGCTGGGCTGGTTGTAGGTCTTGGTTGGTATTAAGCTCAGGCCTGACCAGGGTGCAGGGGCGCCCGCTGGGTAAGGAGGGTAGGGTAGGCCTGGGCTCTGAACAGTCTCTCCCTGAACCCCCCCCCCCCCCCCAGGTTTGGGCAGGTTCCAGATCAGCCTGCTGGGCTTCGGCTCTTCACAGTGCAGATTCCTCACAAGCGTCTGCGCCACCCCCCACCCTGCTACCTCACAGCCTGGGATGGCTCCACCTTCTTGCCCCTTCGGACCAAGCCCTGTGGCCAGGAAGTCGTCTCCTGCCTTAGTGTCAGGTGTGAGGCAATGCAAGTTTGGCTGGGTTTGTGGGTACCTGGGGGACTTTCTGACACACCTGAGAACCGTTGCTGGTGAATGAAGGTGGCTGCACAGGCCTCCCTGACAATGAGTGCTTTACTGTTGTTGCAGTGAATCGGGGACCTTCCTAGGTCTGGGCACAGTCACTGGCTCTGTTGCCATCTACATAGCTTTCTCCCTCCAGGTAATGGGTTGAGATGATCACAGTCCTGTGGGCTCTTTGGGATGGGGGCTCTAGCCCCATGCAAGAATCTGGCCCAGCCTATGGAGGGAATGCCTTCTGGGGGTGGGAGCAGGGTTTGCCAAAAAGAGTATTCCCAACGGGATTTTCCCTCACTACTCTTATCCCCAGCGCCTCTACTACGTCAGGGAGGCCCATGGCATCGTGGTGACAAACGTGGCCTTTCTACCTGAGAAAAAGGGTCGTGGTCCAGAGCTCCTTGGCTCCCATGAAACTGCCTTGTTTTCTGTGGCTGTGGATAGTCGTTGCCAACTGCACCTGCTTCCCTCACGGCGTGAGTCACTGGGGTGGGACTTGGACGGGGGTGGGATGGGACTCGGCCCCACTTTTAGCCGTAGAAGAAACTTGCCCTGGAAAGGGAGCTTGTTTGTAGCCCGCTGCCACTCCTGAATGGGCTGAGCTCTGTTCCCTGGGCTGTGAAGGCCCTTTGCCCTCTCATTGCTTCTTGCCCCTCCTGCAGGGAGTGTTCCTGTGTGGCTGCTGCTGCTGCTCTGTGTTGGGCTGATTGTCATGACCATCCTGCTGCTCCAGAGTGCCTTGCCAGGCTTCCTTTAGCCTCCCAGTTCCCGAAGTCCTACACCAGAGAGGAGGCTGGACCCCTTTACTCCCCTGGCTCCACAGCTGAAGTTGCCTCGGCTGGGGCTTGGTTGTGGCCCTGTGCAATGCTGAATTATGGGAACCCGGCATTCATCATCTGTGGATCCACCCAGGAGTGGAGTCTAAAGCCTGGGCCACACCACCTGCCTCCCTCTCCCTGCTAGAGACTCCAGACCTGAGATGATCCTTTGTCCAGGAATATGTGAAGATGTCCAGGAACCCAGCAACTGCTGTCCTGCAGTTTCTCCCCCTGTAAGCTTGTGGCCGTTGCTCTCCACGTGAGGCCCTGCCATTTGCTGGAGCAGGCACGGGGCAAAAGAAAGCCCCAGGTAGTCATCTGTGGATTCAGCTGGCCCCACACCAGCCCGGCCAGGTATGCCATTAGTTCCTGGATGGTCTGCCCTGGCCTTGAGGAAAGGCACAATGAACCCTCAGCCCATTTGGCACGAAAAGTTGGTATTTAATAAAGCGGGAAGACTGAACCAAGACCCCGAATGCACTCATGTCAGCACTTGCCGCCTTCAGCAGGGGTGGCGGCCCCGAGGCTGAGCAGCTCCGCGGGGTGCTGGAAGATGGCTTTGGCGAACTGGTGGAAGAGGCGGTTCATGTAGCAGTGCTGCCAGGGGAGCAGCCCCTCCAGGAAGCCGATGTGGCCGCCCTGGGCTGTGACGAGCAGCGCCACCCATGGAGAGTGCTGGGCAGCCTGCAGGGGGAGGGCTGGGGGCGGGGTGGGAGAGGTCAGCTCCCACCCGCCCTCTCTGAGCACAGGCCCATGCCCCCTCGCCCTGGGCTCTCAGTCGCTCAGGGGCAGGCTGCTCACCGTGGACGGGGGAGAAGGGGTCATCTGCTGCATTGAGGCAGAGCACAGGGACCTGGATGGCGTCTACCTTGGTTCTTGGGCTGGCTGCTTGGTAGTAGGTAACGCAGTCTTCATAGCCAAAGACCACAGCGGTGTAGCGCTCATCAAACTCGCGGATGGTGCGGGCCTGTGGGTAGTGGAGGGGGTTGGGCTCGGAGGAGCATGGGGTGGGAAGGCATAAGAGGAGCAATTTGAGGGGGGGTCGAAAAGACTAACCTGAAGCACTGAGTCCACATTGACCACCTTTTCTATCACTTTTCTGTTTCTGCAAAAGATCACGTGGAGGTTGGCTCTACTCCTGGACCCGACTGAGCCCCAGCCTCTGCCTTAGCTCACGAGTAAGGAACCTTGCCCATCCTACCCTGGCGCCCTCCCACCTGCCCCAACCCTACCGGTCCACGACACGGCAGAGTGCAGCAGTGAGGCGCTGGTTAAAGAGTAGTGAGTTGAGTGGGGTCTCCAGGGAGCGGGTGGTTTCAGAGGAGTCCCAGCACGCAGATAGCGTCAGGGCCGCCACCAGCCCTGCAGCCTGCCGTTTTCGTGCCAGGTGGTTCAGCACGAGTATCCTGCAGGTTGGCCAGGGGCCGTGAATGAAGTGTTTGCATCAGTGAGTTGGGACAGGGGAGGGGGAGAGGATGTGAAGGAAGGAAAAACTGGACAGGCAGCCTTTACCCTCCCAAAGAGATGCCCACGGCCATCAGTGGAGCTTGGGAGTAGCGGTGCTTTATGTGGTTCACAACTGTCTCCAGATCTTCCGTATTGCTGGCACAAAAAGCCCTGTGGGTCTGAGGAAAACCACATCACTGGTAAGAAGGGAGGCCTTGGCCAAAAGGCAGAAAAGTGGACGGGCTCAAAGATGGATAGGTGGTGCCCAGGGCCCAGCATCTCTGAAGGGAGCAGGGTGCAGGGCTACGGTGAGGAAGGAGGGGACTCACCAGCAGTTCTTCCCCGCGGCAGCCTCGGTTATTAAATACAACCGCCCTGTGGCACACACGGTCCTTCGTTAGCTATGTACTCTAGAAGCCCTCCCCTCTGGCAGCCTCCAGAAAGCCCTCCCTGGGTCTCAGTGAAAAGGCGCCTTAGTCTAGCCCTCCCCAGGCCTGATGACCCCTCTGTTTGAAATTGTATCACCCAACTCCAGCGCCTTGCCCAGCCTTGCCTGTAGCCGTCCCTTACAGCTTGGCTCACTAGATGCAGCATGTATTTTTCCTGGCTACTGCCCGTGATTCCAGGCAGCAGTAATACAATGGGCCGCGTGGCTGGGTCAGGGAAGAGAGAGCTGTCGTGTAGGCCGGCCCAGTCCAGCAGGAGCTGTCCTCCATCTGGGGTTTGGATGGCTTCACTGCAGTTTTGTAGAAAAGACACACCAAGATACTATTAGGAACATCTTGCACTTCAAAAGGTTTGTCCCCTGATAGACCCTCAAACAACTCTTAGCTTCCCATCGACAGCATCTGAGGGTGTGCTTTATATAACATGTTAAGATGAAACATTAAGGTGTAGTCGGGGCATAAAAGGTTGAATATTACCTCATGATTGTGCAATGATGGAGCTTGCCACACAGCCATTCTTTACCTTTAATACTCTGAGGTAGATGGGGCAAAGAACCCTCTTCGAAGAGGTAGGCTGGACTCCCCTATACTTGCAGCTTCATGTTCGCCCCCATCTGTCCCTTCTTACCTCCAGTAAGGGACTTCAGGCTGAGATTGCAGTAGGACTCGAAATATGGTTTGTAGTCGCCCCTCAATACACCACAGCGTAGGGTAGAAAGTCTCCATGGTGATTGGACAGTGTTGCTTCAGAAAGGCCAGAAACCGGGACCCTGTTACCAGTCGAGGTTTCTGTAACCACATAACACAATTACCTGCTCCCCGCCCCACACAAATCAGCCCGGAGTGCTCAGCCTCATGTGGAGGTGAGAAATCCAGCTTCCAACTGCCCCTGAGTTGATTAAGAACCAGGGCTGGGAGCCATGATGGCTGATAGGTGCCTGAGCCCGTGAATTGTCCAGCTGCAGGAAGGCCTGGGGTTCTGGGCAAGGCTGAAGAAATGCAACATGTTCCACAGGTGACCTTTGCCTCCCGAGCCTGGCTCTGCCCCCCGACCCCGCTGATTGCAGAGCCCCATTGTTGCCCACTTCTGTTCCCTCGTGTGCACCCGTTTGCTCTTCCTCACGCGGCCCCTGTTAGACTGTACACTGAAGATGGAATATTCCCAAAGTGGACACATTTTCTCTTCCTGCTGACCAGGTAACAGGAAAGGGCTGGGGCCTGGGACACTTAGCCCTCTCAGCTCCTCCATGTGTTCCAGACAGTGAACGAGGGCCTGGCCTCCTGAGGCTTGTGAAGGAAGAGCACACTAGACAAAGCAAAAGCCCTCATACTCAAGAAACAAAACTACTTTTGCAGGCCCTGGGGCACTGAAAGGCCCTGTAGTCCACTACTCAGCAGGGCTGGGCAAATTGTGAACTAAAAAGGCCAAGTTTGTAGTGTGACTGAGACGTGAGTGCTACACGTACCCTGTCCTTAAGGCCTGGGTTAATGCCTGTGAGTCTCTGCTCTGCAGACAGAGCTAAGCCCAGCTGTGTGAACTAGGATTTATATGTGAAGAAACTAACCTCGGTTCTGTTGTTTGCCTAAAGCCACAGCAAGCAAGAAGCAAAGTGGAGCTAGTAATTGTTACCCACTAATATTAGGTAAAACGTGTTCAGTGCTTGTTAGGTCCCAAGCATTGTGTTCAGCACTGGGCATGATCACAGCCTGAGATCCTCACCACAATTCGAGTCAGGTCCTGTGATCCCCTTGAGGGATCATGTTTGAAGGTTAACTTGTAAAAGGTCATGACGCTTGCAGTTAGTGGAACTGGTAGTCTCAAACATAGGTCTACCTGACCTAGAAATTGTGCTCCTACTCACAGATTTTGGTCAGACAGCTCAGTAGTGTAGAACAAGATGCAAATTAGACCACAGGTTTGATTTATGCAGGTTGGTTTCTAAAGTAAATTGTTTCAGGACGCATTCCTCAGTATTACGCTATTGGTTGCTGTGGGTGAATCAGTATCAACTCATTGCCATGCTGGACAATCCAGATTCCATGCCCTTAAGGCCCTCAGAATGGCACTTCTGCGTTTTCACAGCGATGTGGAAGTCAAGGAAAGGTTTGGAGTATGAAGTGGCAGCTCTGTGACTTCTGTGTGGCTGGTTCAACCAAATAAATAGTTTAGCTCTTCTCTGAAATGGCTGACTTTCCAAGTCAGACATCTAAGGTAAGATTTATAGGGTATGTGAACTTTGGATTTTTAAATTTTTAATGAGGCAGGCATTTTATACACAATGCATGTAATGGTAGAAAGTTCTGAAATTACAGAAAAGCCCAGGTATTACATTAATATTCCCTACAGATCTTTGTAAAGGGCTTAAATCTATTGGTTTCTTCTTAGCTACCTAGAATCTTAATGATTAAAAGATTAGATTTCAGGAAGAACCTCCAAGTTCATAAAAATCACCCCCTTCAATACTCTTAACACCACACTGTTCACGAAGGTCTAGACACAGGAACCTAAAACATGCATGCAGGAGAGGACTCTCCGTAGACTTGAGCAATGTGGGGAAGCCCCCCTCTCAGGAGAAGCTCGGGCCTGCGAAGCTGCTGTTAGGCTTTAGCCACAGCCCCCACGGGCCTTCACTCAGTGCAGCCAGGGAGAAACAGCAAAGGAGAGTGGGAAAGCCTGCACAGCTCCCTGCCTTCCCAGGGTGCCTTCCCTCTCGCCTGCCCCAAATGCTTGTCCACATTATAGGTGGCGGCTGGCACCGCTCTCATGCCAAGAAAGCTCAGCTGGCATGGAAAGCGCACGGGATGCGGGCAGTCTAGGTGAGCACCAACGGGCTCTCCGGGCTCTCCGTTATGTGACCGGCAAAGGAGCCACGCCGAAGCGCGGGGTGTGGGGGATGGTGGGGTTGGGGCGACTAACTTCGCCGGTGGTGGGAGACCCAACCTTGCCAGCCCCCATATGGGGCTGGAGCCCGAGGCTGCAAGCTGCCCCCTAGATCCGAGTATCCCCAGCCCGCCAGCCAGCGCTCTGGCTCCGCACCCACCTGGGGCACAAACGCCCAGTAGTAACCCAAGTAGAGGACAACGCCCAGAACCAAGAGCAGAAAGATGGACTCTGTCCAGGTGCCATTCTGGGGGCTCAGGAAGGAGCTCAGCATTTTAGACAGCTGGGTTCCGACTCCCAAGTTCTCGGCTGGCTCCGGCCCTGGACTTTTGACTAGTGGCCCCGCAGGTGCGCGCCTCGCCCCGCCCGTTACGTGCCATTGGATGCCTGTGCAGGTACCACCTCCCCTGCCCGGCGGTTCGGGGCGCCCGACCCCGCCCACCGCCGGTGCGGCCCCGCGGCAGCGAGGGGCGGTGCGAGGAGGCGCCCGGGGTTGAGGGGGCTGCACCCGCCGCCTTGCGCTGAGCCGGCTCGGGTGACTTGCGCGCGGCCTCCCTCCCGCGGCCACCGGATCTCGAGCCATCGCGCCTCCTGCTTCCGCTTCGCGGGCACCGGGAGCGCAGTCCCTCGAGAGGCCGGGCGACCCCCCCCTCATCCGCCATGTTGGTGAGAGGCATCCCGGGCCCTTCCATAAGCTCTGCCCCGGCCAGTCGGGCAGCCTGGCCCGTCTGCCCCCGCCTCTCGGCCGGCACTCAAAGGACTCCGCGGGCCCAGGATCACACTCGGCCCCGCCACACGGAATGCGGCCTTTCGCAGCGACACGCGGGGACACCGCCCCCAGGTGGTGACACCTGGTGGCCACTCCTAGTGGTCCTCACACCCTGGACACCATGCACACGGTGACGCCCGCACTGTCCCTCAGCTACTCAGGGGCTCAGCTACTGGGCGGTAGCATCCCACACAGTCACGCACGCGAGAAAGCCACTCAGTCACTCCGCTGCAGCACACAGTTCCTGCAGGCGCCACATTTCCGCATCGCCGGTGAGGCTGCTCCTGTCTTAATTGGCAGCAGGACCTCAGCCTTGACTGAAGAGTAGAATGAGCCAGTATTTAAAAACTTGCGTGCCCAGGCCCCCTTCCCTGGCAGAGCTGCTCTAGGAAAGAGTCCAGGCTTCGGTAGAACGTACCTCGCGCCAGGTTCCATGTGTGGTTAAGGTGGAGCCCTAGGAGAGTGGGGTGCTGACTGAGGGACACACTAGCTCTTTCAGGCACTGACGAGGGTGCTCCAAAGCGCAATCCAGACACTAAGCGACGACATTCAAGGTGACACCAAAAAGTGGGCAGGACTTTGCCTGGAGAAGGGGTGAGGGCGTGGGGGTGGAGAGGAGTTATTCCAGGAGAGGGAACTATTCGCAGAAGCCTGGCTGTGAGGGCTTCCTAGAGGAACCACAGGGAATGTGATGTCACTGGAGCACAGGAGAAGGCCCAGAACCAGGCTGTGAACACAACGTGGAGGGTGTTTGAGTGACCCTAGGGGTGAAGGAAAGTCATCGGGGTTTAAGAAAGGGTCTGCAACATGATTTAGAATAGCAAGTCACTGGAGAATCAATTGGGAGGATGGAGTGAAAAAGTGGCCAGTTGGAGGTGTTCACAGAACTGAGGCTGAGGCAGAGTTGACAAGGCCTTGGAAGTAAGTGACAAGAGCAGAACAAAGCATGAATGACCCCTATTTTTCTAACAGCATAGGTTCAGGGATTCATGGTAGTAACCTCCAAAGTAGGGAAATGGGGGAAGGGCAAGATTTGAGGTGGAAGGTGATGCACTCCTACCCCGACACATGGAGGTTGGGGTAGATGTTCTAACTGCGCATTTTATGTTCTGTATTTGTCTTGGGTGTCCACTAGTCACAGGGCCAAACTAATGACCACAGTTGTTTACCTCTCCTGATGAGCTGCAGTCCACACTCCGAACCACTTCCTTTCTCTAGCTCTCACACAACAGCCAGTATTTCTGTGTTCTAAGCCAAGGTAGGGCCAGGCACTAGACAATTAGGGACAGTCCCTGCTCCCCAAAGCCCACCACGATTATTCAAACTGGCCACTGCAGACCAAATGTTCCTCTGCCTGGCTTGCCTTTGCCTGCTTTCCCTTGCTCCTCTCCTCTGCCTCTGACCTAACTGGTTTGTGTGGAATTGTGCAGCAAGTTGTGCCTCTCATTTCTGGGAGGAACTGTCATCATCAACTTCTCTTTCAATGACAGTGACCTCCTGCGTGGTCACTTAGTCATGTTTATAAATGAAGACCTGGGTACAACCAGTAGGATGTTCAATTCCTGCTGTAGTCCGGGGTGTAGAGATTGGAATGCAAGACTTGAATTCAGCAGCATTTGGAGGCTATATTAGCTCTCCAGGTTGCCATAACAAAGCACCACACACAAACTGGGTATCTTAAGTAACAGACATTTATTGCCTCCCAGTTCTGGAGGCCAGAAGCTCACAGTCAAGGTGTCAGCAGGACTGGTTCCTCTGGAGAACTGTGAGGAAGAATCCGTTCCATCCAGCTCTAGCTTCTGGTGGTTGGCGGGCAGTCTGGCGTCCCTTGCTATGAAGAAGCTTCACTCCAACCACTGCCTTTATCTTGGCATGTGTGTGTGCACATGCACACAGTGTTCCCCTTTTTGTATGGACACCAGTTAGTTGGATTTGGGGTCCTCCCTGCTGTAGCCTGACCTCATCTTACCTGTTTCTGCACTGTTTTATTTCCAACAAGGTCACGTTCTGACATACGGGGCTTAGGACTCCAGCATGTGACTGGGGGGAGTAGCACAGCTCAACCCATAGCAGAATGAGGGCGGCTTCCTGCCCAGAGCAGAGGGGCCGGGAGGAGAGAACACAAAGGGGACTCAGACATGAGAAGGCTGAGCAGGGGAAGGGTGCTGCTGTATGCGTGGGGGGGGGGGCATAGGCAGTGTCCATGGCAGGCACAGGAAGGACAACAGGGCGACCTTGATGAGTGTTGTCACGGATGTGGCGGAAGGAGCTCGTGGAGAGGGAGACCTGAAAGATCCCGCGAGGCAAGTAGCCATTCAAAGAGCCAAATCCTTGGGTCAGTGGGGTCACTGGGTGAAGATGTAACCTCGGCGGAGAGACTGGCCGCTGGGACAAAGAGGGCCGATACTCTTCTGACCACAAAACGCAGCCACACTCTGCAACACTCTAGGCTGAGCACCCTTAGGATGATGCTTTCCCAGACCCCCACCCCACTGCACCCCACTCCTGCAGCTCACATGGAGCCACTCCAGGGAGGCGACTGTCAGCAGCACAGTGACAATTTGCCAGGAACCAGCAGTCAGCACTGTCACGTAAGTGTCCCCAACACCTCAGGAGGAGTCCAGGTAGCTCAGCCGAGGCGCCCCTAACGCCTGGGTGTCACTCACCCCATCAGTCGGCGCTGGCCACACCCTCCCTGCTGTCACACTGGATACAGTCACACAAAATACCCCCGCAGGGTGGCAAGCTCCTGACGCACAGCACACCGCCGGCCGCAAGGACAGCAGTAAGTCGCGTCTCTGCTGTCAGCAGCTGGCTCCCTGCAGGTGGTGGCAGGCGCGGCGTCGCCGGTTACTCGGGCGGTATCCACGCGTCTCCCTCCCGCCTCCTCAGCCCCGCCATCCTCCTTCCGCTGGGCGGCGGGGAGAGGCCCGCCCGCCGGTGGAGGCCTCAG